AGTGACCCAAACTTTCTTCACAGACATTTCAGAGTAGTAACTCAAATACCATCTTAAAGGTCCTAAATCTAGAATCCTAAGATTTTATACACAATGGAATCCTCTAGTCAGTTGCCCTCACTTACCTGGGCTCAGATCTTTGTTAACCAACCTCTCCATTGCTCCAATAAGGAAATCACATATGGTTTGGAAGTTAATTAAGTAATTAATAATAAACCCTGCACATAGGAGAAAAATGGAATTTAGGTCTGGTGTGGATATACAAAAATTGAGACCATTCCCTGGATCATCAGGCAGGAAAAAAAGAAAAAGGAAGTTGAGAAAGTATTCTGAAGGATCATGGTAATAATACTTTTGAAATAACTCAGGAGAGATGCTTATTTCTTAAGCCAATCCTTCAGAAAATTACTTAAGCACCCTAAAAATTCCCTAATGAATCACAGTGAAGAAAGTCAGATATTACCAGAATGCAGGATCTGAATTGGAAATGGGAAACGAGGTATAAGAACCCCAGTTGCTTAGTTGAATAAATATATATAGGTCCTATATCACACCCCTGAACAAATTCCTCTGAGTGGGGTACATCATCTGTACTCCATCCAGCAGAAATCAATGCCACATTCCTGAGTCTATAGACCCCCGGAATGAAAGGAACCCATGTGCCCCTAAGATCCTGGAAGGGAATGTGATGTTGGTGAGGACATGGGAGCTAGACAGCAAGGAGAAGGAGTTGCACAAGAAAGTGACTGGTTAAATAAATTGCCAAATATCCATGTACTATAACACTAAGACAAATGCAAAGTTGTAGAAAATAGTTAAGGATATGGAATATTTTCAAGGTATGTTATCAGTAGATGAATCACTTTACACAACAGGTTGAATAATACAATTACATCAATATAGTGATTTTTAAAAATCTGGGAAGTTAAACACCTGTTTATCTATTGCTGTATAACCATTTCAAAAGCTTATGGCTGGGTGTGGTAGTGTGTGCCTGTAGTCCCAGCTACTTGGGAGGCTGAGGCAGGAGGACTGCTTGAGACCAGGAGTTCAAGGCCACCCTGGGCAACATAACAAGACCCCACCTCTAAAAAAAAAATTAAAAGTTTGTGGGCTAAAACAAAAAACAATAAGCTCATTATTTTGGTGGTTGGCAATTTGGGCTTGGCTTTCTGAGTGGCTCTCCTGCTGATCTTATCCATGTGACAGCAGTCAGCTATTGGCTTGGTTGGGGCTGGGTGGTCCAAGATGGTCTTGCTGAAATATCTAGCAGTTTTTGCTGACTTTGAGCTGGAGGTCTCTCTCCAAGTGAACTTTTATCTTCAAGCAAACTGCTCTTAGCCTTCGAGAAATGGTGGTATCAGGGCAGGAAAAGGGCAAGAGCAAAAGCTGCAAGACCTCCTGAGGCCTTGTCTCAGAAGTCTCACAATGTCACTTCCACCACATTCTATTGGTCAAAGCACATCACATCGCCCTAATAGTAACCTAACCATTGACTAGCATTTCAGGAGGAAAAAAAAAGGAAAAAAAAACCTGACCTTTACCTTGCTTTTCACATACACTCAGTAATGTTTCACTTTCCTCAGGGCTCTTAGAGAACTTCATGAGAAGAGGGAAGGGAATAGGGGAGGGTTAAGGAATTATGAGACACCACCCTTTCTTGGACTCCACACTGGCTAGATTGGAAGAAATTCTTCCCAACACACATGTTCTCATCATCCACCACGCACATACTGAGATGGGAATACTGCTAACCCTTCTTAGTATCCTTTAGGGAAAGGCCAGGGTGATGGATATCCAGGTCTGGAAATTTTCTCTGAATTCACAGCAGTTTCCTGGGGAGACAGCTCTGGAATGACATGGTTCTGAAACATGGAACTTGACTTCAGAGAGTTCCCAAGGGAGATCCTCTGAGGAAGGAATCCTACTCCTAGTTTCTCCCCATCATGTCTTCCTAAGACTCTGCCTAAGGGACACCTCCAACTCCAAAAGCCTCATTCCAAAGACAGGTCTGTGCTTTTCTGTTTCACAACCATATTTTACCACTCAATTATCTGATTGCTCTTTTGATGTTCATTTCTCTGCAGTTGGGGTCCATATGGCTACAAAGCGGTAAAAAAAAAAAAAAGGAAGTAGCTGGGAACTCAGGGATACAGAGCCCAAGAGACAATAGATGATGAGAACATGTGTGGTGGGAAGAATTTCTTCCAATCTAGCCAGTCTGGAGTCCAAGAAAGGTTGGTGTCTCGTAATTCCTTAACCCTCCCCTATTCCCTTCCCTTTTCTCAGGAACCTAAAAACTGGCAGGTAGGTGGGCACTCATTCCACAGATACTCCCTCTATGTTGAACACCAGGCTGAGCACTTTGGGCGGTAGTGCCCTGAAGAAGACAACCTAGGCCATGCTTCATTGCAAGGTGACTCTGGCTAACATAGGCATTGATCGTAGTCTTCACAGGCACAGATATACTCTCAGGGAGATCTTCTTCCAAGAGACCTCTCAGTCCCAACATTAAATCCAGAACTGCAGATGAAGCTCTACCTGTCACACAGGCAATATCACAGAATTAAAAGCCTCTTCCAACACACTAGGTTAGAGCTGCACTGTCATATGATGGATGGTCTCCAGCCCCACAGTGTCGCACACCCCACATCACAACCGACCACGGTCACCCAAAAGGTCCTGCATCTGGCACATACGAGCACAATCACGCACCTGTCACAGCCTTATCACCGCGTGCACACCCCCGCCTCGTCATGACCACAAACGTTCACAAGCACATACCCGCGCATTCACAGGCCTGAGCTACAGGCTCCGAATGCCCTGTTCGCGCCCTGGGAACTCTGGATGTCTCACTGTGAGGGCCTCACGCACCAAGACTCGGCTCACACTTATAGCCAGGCAACTATGAGAGAGAACTTGGAAGAGGAACTGGAGATCAGATTTCTAAAGTAGCCCGGGGGCCTATGGGAAATGTAGTTCAAGGCCGGAAACGCCCGGATGTCGAGAAGGCGCGCGTAGCCGGTGGTCCCGAGAAATGCGCCGCGGAGACACCTGGGAGATACAGTCCGCGCGGGAGCACGCAGGCGCAGACTGCTGGCCAGTGACCAAAGGTGAGGCTGGTGGGTCCTCCCTGGCGTGGAGGAAGCGGGTGATGGTGGGACCCGTGGGGAAGACCGAGGAAGGAAGCAGGAACCTGGGCTGGGGAAAGCAAGCAGGGAAAAGGGAACCTGGGCCGAGGAGGCTGGGAGAGGAAAGTGAAAGTCTGGGCCCCAGAGAAGGCGGGGAGAGAAGCAAGAACCTAGGCAGAGGAAAGAACCAGGAGCGCGGGCGGGGGAGCGCCGAAAAGGGAACCGGGAGTCCGAGGCGGTGTGAGCTAAGCAAGGGCAGGAATTTTGTCTGTTTTTACCCCCGCGAGGAAACCCCAGAGCCTGGAGCGCGGCCTGGCACAGAACAGGCGCTGAGTTTGTGTGGCTTTCTGTGCTTGTCCTTGTGTGTTGCGGGGGAGGGGGGCGTGTATTATACCGTGTGAGGTTGTGGAACCGTTTGTTTTTGAAAGTGATAAGGTGTCTGCGCGGGTGTAGACAAGTTTTTTATTGTTGGTTTTTTTTTTGAGACAGAGCCTCACTCTGTTGCCCGGGCTAGGGTGCCGTGGTGTCAGCCCAGCTGGCAGTAACCTCAAACTCCTGGGTTCAAGCGATCCTCCTGCCTCAGCCTCCCGAGTAGCTGGGACTACAGGCATGCACCACCATGCCCGGCTAATTTTTTTATATATATTTTTTTAGTTGTCCAGCTAATTTCTTTCTATTTTTAGTAGAGATGGGGTCTTGCTCTTGCTCAGGCTGGTCTCGAACTCCTGAGCTCAAACAATCCTCCCGCCTCGGCCTCCCAGAGTGCTAGGGTTACAGGCGTGAGCCACCGTGCCCGGCCTAGACAAGTTTTAATTGGGTGCGAATCGATTTGTGTTTGAGACTATATCCGATTTTGGAGAGGAGATGGGGATTGTGAGTGAAATTTTGTTACTTTTTGTAGATGTATGTATGAGCATTGCGAGATCGTGCATGACGTGGGAACCTATGGGATCATAACTGTGTAGTGGTTCATACAACTATGAATATGTGTAATTTTTGAAGTATTTTGTGTACACGATCCATGATGACTATGAATGCGGCTCATTGCATGACTGAGGTGGAGTGCTTGAGAAATAGGGTGCTGACTAGTCAGGTATGTGTTGTTTAGAGTCTCTGAATATTGGCCATTTTATAGGCCTGTAGAATTTGACTGCAGCAATTAGACAAGTAAAATAAGTAGAGATTTTTAAAATTGAGAAGAGGAGGTAAAATAATTTTCAGTTGGTAGGATCATATATTGGAAAACCTCATATTGACTAATAACTAATATGTTGAAATGAGGAACACCACTGGGAACACACAAAAAAAACTTACTTCCATAACTTCCACTCAAAATTTCTATTTGGGTGAGTTTTTTTTTTTCCTTTGCTGGGATCAATAATTTCTTCAGACATTGTTTAGATAACAAAAAAATCTGTTGAACATTTAAACAGAAGATCAGTCTCTCATCTTATAATAATCATGTACCTAAATAAAATGTTCACTGTAGAAATCAAACTTATTTTAAAAGCAGAAACTCTCTCCCTTCTGCTGGAAGCCTGCAATGCGAAAGGGTACACGATCAGTTTCTTCTTTAATTCCTCTATCTCCTCTTTATTCCCTGTAGGTGGGTAGTCTTCAGCTCGAATGGATTGGGAGCTGGGAAAGGAATGAGAAGTTGGAAGTCAGGGACAAGAAGAGGCTAACATGACTGATACTGCTATAATTTAGTGTAAGTCTTCTCTTACCTTCTGAGAGAACTTGCTGCTGGCAACCTCCAGAGATACACTTCCCTCCTCCTGGGCACAGCCTCTTCTCCAGCTGCCTCCTCAGTGCTTCCTCTTGGCATACACCTGCTCTGGTGGGGTTTGTATGTCCAGTTGGTCCTTTTGGATAATATTCAAGACAACCCAAGCAGCCTCCATCCATGGTGTCTAAGATTCTAGTGCTAAGGTGAGAATTAGCCACCTCGGTTACTTTGCCCTCCCAAACCCTGGAAACACATACATTTTTGCCAAGAATTCTCTCACTTTTGTTTCTAGTAGTATCAGAATCTGAGAGGCCCCTTGTTTATTACAATGAAGGGAGAAGAACCTACTTTTCTTCTCCCTAGAAAACAACATTCTAAAAATAATTTACTCTGTTATAGAGACATTACCCTCTCTAGCCTCTTAAGGTAGGAGTTAATTAATTACAGCAAAACTTTATAGTCAGCAGCTTTACAAGATCCTACTTTAGAATGAGGGACTCAGACTTTTGTTTGGATGATCTTTGGAACTTATTAGCTGAGACTGAGGCAAAAAGATTTCTAAGTTATCATCTTGTTAAAAATGAACAATGACAATAATTAGAAAACTCAGGGTTGCTGGAAAAAAACATTAACAAATCAATAGGCTTTGCATACACACGTGTGTGGAGGGTGTGTGTGTGTGTGTGTGTGAGAAAACTGCAAAAATTTTTACAGTGGTCATCAAAAATAAGAGATAAGAAAGGAATTAATTGCATGATGTGCAATTGCATGATGTGTTTTTAAAAAGCCCATTTAAAAATTAGAACTTGAACAGAAGGATAGGAAGGCACAACATGATAAAAATGTCAAAACTTCCTAATGTTTCACACAATTCTTTAAACATTTCAATAAAAAATTTTTGAACTTTCTAAAATGCTTGGGAAAAAATGAACAGACCAGCAATTCTGAGAGAGAAAAATAATCA